CTGCAGCCTCTAATCCATCTTCCACTATCTTCAAAACATGATCAGTGATATTAACATCCAACAGAAGCCTCACTTAAACAGAGGAAATTATATGTTAGTGGTGAAGGTTAAAGCTTCATCTCAATTCAAGGGTTTCCTTTGCTGAGAACAGTGTAGGTTGGAAAAGAAAGGCTTTGAACTGCTGCGGCAAACGGTTTCTTTAAAGCCTTGAACCTGTTAGTTTTAGGATCATAAGAAACCAGAGCTTTCTTGTTACACTCCAACTCAATCTCACCATTCTTCAAGACACATAAAACCCTTACGCGTCTTCCCACCCAGCTCGTAGCAAGATCTTCAATCAACATTAAGAGGGAGAGTTAAAGTTGCAAATTCATGGTTGCCTTTGCTGAGAAAAGAGAAGGTAGAAAAGGGAGTGTCTGGAACTCATTGGGTAACCCACTCGTTTGAAGAGTCTTGAATCTGTTTTCTACAGGATCATAAGAAACCAGAGAACTGTAATTATACTGCAACAAAATCTCACCATTCTTCAGTGCACATATAACTTTGGGAAAACTTATTAAGTAGCTTGGCGATCCACCAGCAAAATAGGGATCAAAGGAGAATTGTTTTACCCAAGATTCCTTAACATGGTATTGCTTCATCACCCAGATATCAAAATGCCCAATTTCAACTAACCTAACAGCCGATAGACACCCATTGAGCACGGAAAGACGGTAGCGACGTGACACAAATCGTTGACAAGGTGGGTGAGGAATTTCTTCGAACACCTCATCTGCAAGGTTGAAGGAGATAATTCCAGAGATAGGACCGACTCCTTCCATGCCAACAACAGTCACCCAATGGAGAGATCCTTCAACTAGAGCCTCAGGTGGTCCGATTACATCCGCCAATCGTGGAGGCGTAGCTACTATATCTCTCCACTCTGTTGTTCCTACAGTAAACACCTGAACCATTAATTCTTCCACTTCTTCCAATTCTAGCTCAAACGACACAATCCTGATCACTTTGAATTCTCCTGTCCTCGAATGAAACCCAAATCCAAATGCTTCCCTTTGATCCAGAAGTCGGTCCGTTGGTGGGACGCTCACAGCGTCTCCAACAAAAGGATTGTAAATTAGCAGACTGCGAGACACCGATGAACCACCGATTATGAGAAAGGATACACATAACAGCCCGTTACAAGAACCCACCAGATTATAAACTTCTGAATGCTGTGGTGGATCGATTTTCCTAATCCTTCTATTACAACCCTCACTATCCACAAAATAGACTCGCGGGGCAGGGGAATCGTAGTTGAACAGAATCAGACATGGATCTGACTCGCTTACCCGATTACGGAACATCGGAGGGAGTCTTGGATCGGCGATTAAATCATAGCCGGCATGGGAAGTGGTCTTGAAGTCCATCATTGAGGTGATCGGGAGTCTTGATAGGACTTCGAGCAGAATCTCCCGTGGGAGAAGATGAAGATCTATCTGGACCATCGCTCTGTTGGAAGGATCATCTGCATGGTTGACTCTTTTCTTCTTTCTTCCCTCTTCGGCATCCATGGGTAATCTCGATAGAATATCGATGGTAACTTCCGCTGGCGGGGTGGGTTTCTTCCTCTGGATTCCCTTCTTAGGACTCAAATCCGTGGCTTTGAAGCTTTCAGTTTCTGGTGTTGAAGATATACTGAAGGAAGAACCTGCTGTGTGGACAGAAGAAAGATCATTTGGTGTTTGAAAGAAGAAAAGAGTCAACCTGTTGTTGAAACATAGGGTGTTATTCAACTTTTCAAGGAAATAAAAAAAATAAAAAATAGAGAGAAGAAGTAGAAACGGCTCGAAGAAAGGAAAAAACGACAGGAAACGGTGTTAGTTTTTTGGTACATGAACGGTGTTAGTTTTGGCAAAAGCT